TTTTTCAAAATAATTTCATAACAAATATTTAAAGGAAGGTGGAGTTTTTAGTTTTCATTTTGTTTATTCTTGTTTTGATTTTGTTAAAAAAAATATATAAACCCTCTCCATGCATGGATATGATGAATTAAATGGTACACCCTTTTATTCAATAACTTTTCAAAGCATGGTTTCACTTAGAAAGTATGACTTTCGAAAACATCACTGTTATATTTATTTCCCTTTAAATTTTTTTAATTTCATCTTAACCTAATTAATTTAGCCTATGTTACAATATATGTTATCATAAAAAGAAATTATAAATAATTTTCTTAGTCGTGAACATTTACAAACTTTATTCTTTCTTCACTTAAAAGCTAAGTTGACACTTTTTGATACGTTAATTACTATACTTCATTAAAGTTAATAAACGTTTAACACTATAAAAAAGGATGACTCAAAATTATTCAAAGACGCATCAAAATGGCTCTGATATAAACATAGTCAAATTTGAAAACCCCATATGCTCATGATTGAGCATACACAAAATCGAAATAGTTCTGAGAAGCCACATTCATTTGTAAACATGGCGGTGAGATAGGAAAGTTTTGATTACAGATTTGAAGACATTCTTTATCTGTAAAATATAAGTTTGGAATGAAATTAAAAGTTCAGTAAATTTTTGTCTGAATCGTTTTTCTTTTCGAATATTTGATTATTATGAACTATTTGAGTTTGCACTTTGTCATATTTGAAGATGATGAGTTAATTTTCTATGATGTGTCTCTTTTAAGACTAATCAATTTTGAGCATATAACTTATGTTCAAAAACGAGCCCATGAGCTTTTCAAATTCACTATATTTGTTTCGGAGTTTTTTTTATACATTTTGACTCATTTTTTTACAGTCAAGTAGTGATTTAACATAGCTTCGGGAGGTCTTGATTTAATCTAAAAGACTTCTGAAAACAGAAATTACTTTATTATAATCTATTTTTAAATAACACAACAGTGGTCTTCAAATTTATGCTAATGTAATTAATTCTCAATACTATTTTAGTATCAATAAATAAAATATTTCTACTTTTTTGTAGTGAAAGATTTCAAATAATTTATAAAATATCGCATGATTTCCGAGATCTTCTTACGCTAATTTAAACTTATCATTGCTAGTAAACTTGACGTTAGCACAGTAGCACAGTAAACTTATCGTATACTGTGAGTTCAATCATACTCTACATTGTCAAAAAGTTTTGGATTTGGTTTGACCTTAAAATCGAGTAAATTTTCTGAAAGCGTAATACAAGGTCAAGCTAAGCCATTTTGACGTGCAAATTAAGTCATCTTATGCTTGCATATGCTGTACTATGGATAAACATAAACCAAAATATGGTTTAATTTAACATTTCATTAAGGTTGTATTAAAGTTGAACTGCATGATGGTTAAAAGTATCAATATTATGATTCAAAGTTACACTAATTTTTTGAGAGCATAATACATATAGCTTCTTAAACTATGAAACGCATAATCAAAACTTCTTAAACTAGGAGTCCTGCATTATAACCCATTTTTTGTACTGTAGAAAATATTCAATGAAAAATTTACCAACTCTCAACCTTAAAAAAACTTCTCTATGAAATATAGAAGTTAAGATTATAAGGTAATATTATGAAATAAAGAAATGGTACTTTAAGGAAAGAATTGGGAAAAGCTAAAGTTACGAAATAAAGAATTGGTACCAGGTCAAGGAGATTGACCTGGTCTCAGGAAGATCTCGAGATCGAGTCCCACTTCAGGCATGGTTGTAATTTATTTCTCTATTCTGACAGCCCTGCTTGCATTATTCGATAGTCATTAATCCAACTATATGTCCAACTATATATCTTAAATAAAGGGATTATTAGGAGAGTTAAATACTTTAGGCACTATAAGATTTTTTATTTTTGTGAAAAATAGAATGACGAAAAAAAATTTTTTTTAATTTTGGTGAAATTCATTTTATTTGAGAAGTAACGATAGTTAATTCATCACTTTGACAAAAAAGTTTTGCTTGGAGCATATAGTAGGAAACGGTTTCGTCAGAAACGAAGAAAGTTTCGTGATATTTAAGTATCCAATTTTTCAGTGCATTATGCTGTAGTGCTCATGATGAAGATAACATCATTAACAGCCTTTCCACAATATTATTATTATTATTATTATTATTATTATTATCGTTATTATTATTATTATTATTATTGTCGTTATTGTTATTATTATTATTATCATTAATATTTATAAAGGTAGGGTGGCTTAACATTTTTAGTTTGGAAAGTGTTTCATACGCAGTGCATTTTTATACCCTACATAAGTAACTAAAACACAAGAAATAAATAGAAAACATTGAAATTGCATGAAGAAATTTATTAAACAGATATATCAACAGAGATTCAAGATTAAATAATGTACAAGAACATAACAAGATTTGAATTCTAGGAGATTTGTGATTTTTGTATAAACACATTTGTTTTCTTTTACAAAATGACTAGAATTATAATGAAGAAATATTTGACTAGAACAAAACATAGAGTTAAATTGTAAACATCACAAACCTATAGTCAAGAAATTCTTAACAAAAATATCACTTTTTGTTGTATAATAATAAGAGAAATAAAGCATAAGAAATCAGAAGAAACAATTAGTGAAAGAGAGAAATAAACAATGGAATACGTGTGCAATGCAAAGCCTGTAAACAGTGTTTTTTACAGTCTTAAAGCATGACATAAAAACCATTTATTCGGTTGGATTAGCTTTTCAGATTTGCACTTTTAACTTAATGTGTAATAATAAGAACGATAATTTTTCAAGCCAGAATTTCCGGTATACCGTAATATATTATAAACGGAAAAATTACCAGATGAATGGTTCAATTACTGTATATTTTGATTGTATAGACCAGAATTGTGTTCCTGTTTTTTTACCAGGAATGCCATTACCATGGAGTACGGTATTTTTACTAGTTATTTTGGTTCAATTTAACACTTAAAGTCGCTGCTAATTTTTTGCATATTAATGTTCAAAGTATCGATATTATGGTTCAACGTCTACGTTGAACCATAATATCCACACAAATTTGTCTGAGAGAGTAGATTTTCTTTTAAAATCATTAAAATATTAAACAAATCACAGTTTGAACGAGATTGTATTCATGCTAAAACTGAGGGCAAACTGCCGAGAAACAAAACTGCAAACTGCCGAGAACAATTGCTAGACTTGCTGCAGTGATAATTGTAGACGCATAGAAAGTGACGAAGGCCATTTGCAAACGGCAGGGTTTTCGAATAAGCTTACGGTATGCATAACTATTTTTTTTTTCTAAAAGCGTAGTTAGCAGGCTTTGCAACTGAATGAATCCCTTATTACTTGAAATAAAAAAAATTCTTACAGAAGAAATATTTTTCAATCACTTTAAGAATAGGTGGAGTAAAATAATCATGAAATAGTATTTTTATTTTCAATTTACTTAATTAAGATTTAAAGTTTTCGGTTTAAATTTAAAAATACATCGCATTACGTTTTAAGTAATATTTTTATTGAATAATTATTGTGTAACATGCATTTTTAGCATATTTTTTATGAAATAATTCTCTTAAAAAGAGGGGGATACGATTATACAATAAAGTAAAAATTTTATACAAGAAAAAAAAATATACAAGAAAAAATAGTTCTAAACTGGTTTTATTGGTCAATAATTTTTTAATAAGTTAAAAATATTTAGCACAATTTTGTTTTAAGTGAAATGCACCAAATTTATTTTATAAAAAATGTTAAGAGACTGTAATGAATTTTAACAGAATTAGAAATTTTAATAGATGCTACGAGGTTATTTTGCAGCTTAAAGAAACTTAATGGTACCGCAATGAAAATTTAATTTTCCTTAAAATATATTTATATCTGTCTTATTAATTGGAAAAGAAAAACTAAATTTTAAGCTCTTTAACTTCGAGCAATTTAATCATCGCTAAAAAATGAATAAAAATATATGTATATACTTCCTACTACTATTTTTATCGCAATTATATCTAAAAAAAAAACTACTAGTAATTTATTGCAAAAGAAAAATTTAATACAGTGTTTTGCAAGAAAGGAACTTTGTTTAAAAAGTTAAAGAGCATCTTGGTAGTAGAAAAGAATTTCCAAAAGTATTGGATGCTTGTTTTTTCTTCATTATCCAATACAGTAGAAAGACTTTAACCTACGTATTTTTCTTTTCCCTTTTTAGAATTAATTATTCCAGCGCATATTAACAAATTGAAATTAATCAAAAAAGCCAATCATAGTTTATCGGAATTACATTTACATGTTGTAAGGAAATCGAGATGCTTATAGCGCAATAGAGTAAGGTTCTTTTTGAGGAATTTTTAAATTTCAGTGACCGTAAGTGTTATTAAAGCTTGCGGTTTTATCAATATTTCAAACAATAAAACAAATATTGAAAAATAAAACAATCATGCCACTATAGCAATTAACATATCTAACATTCCAATTAGATAATGAGATTATTGCAATCTTGCAACTAATGAAAACATTGCAAATAAGGTTTTACTCCTGCAATTAATGATAATATTTTGCAATTGTAAATAAAAGATTACAAAATATGAATTTGTATTTAGACTTCGTACTCTTTTAGCAGTATTTTATATTAATTGTTAAAAGTATATATTGTAAACCTATAATTAATATTTCACCATTGCAATTAATGCAAATAATCTTGTTTTTCTTAAATTAATGTTACTATTATTGCAATAAATAATAAACATTTCTATTATGCATTCAAATTTGAAAAAGAAAATGGCAATATCACATGCATTGCAATCTTGAAATTATAGTTTCGAAATCTAGAAAATAATACAACTAATATTACAATCTTGCAATAAATTTAATCAATATTACAATCCCGAATGAGGATCTGATATTGCGATCTTCTCAGTCCATATTGCAATCACGTCAATGCTGTTTAGATTTAAATATAACTGTCAACGTTTTTAATAACACTAAATTGCCTTTCATTCCAACTCCCTTGAACATATACCAAACTTCAATAAAACTCCTTTAGCACTAAATTTTGGGAATAATCCATAGAAATCACTGTACAACCCGAATTAATCCTCTTTCTTGGAGTTGAAGTTCAATCCGTAGCCATCAAGGTTCTTACGATCTTCCGTATCATTCCAAATAGATATTCCAACAAAAAGAATAAATTTTTTTCTAAAGATATTTTTTGTATCAGTCAGAACTGCTCTGTTGTTGAGTGCCGTTATTAAGAATAGCAGATTGAAGCAAGGCTTCTGAATGTTCTCGAGCTTTCCGTCGGAGGTCTGTGACACTTGTCGATGTCGGGTCGGGTGAAGGGCTTTCTGATGTCACCATGGATGACGTCATGGGTTTTGGAAGACAACACGCGCAGAAGGGAAATGCTGAAGAAAAAAACAAGAAAACGAATGAAAATCTGTAAAATAAATATTGAAATGCATATATCAATGTTAATGAAATGTGATAAAGATGTACTTTAATTTCTTATCAATAAATCCAAAAGTTTAGTGGTAAATTACTTTCAATACTTTCCTTGAACTATAGTTGTACTGGGTCACTGGTCTACCCAGTACAATTCATTTACATTTTTATTGCTTTGGTACATGGACACTGTTTTGTCACACACTTATTAAGAGGACACTATACCACGTGAGAAACTTATCGTCGCAAACTCTTTTTATCCTCCATTACTAATGAAGAAGGAAAAGTGAGTTCTGGCAAACCTAGAGCAAGTCATGAAGTTTAAATTTCAAAAAATAAAATTTCAAAATATCAAAATGCAAACAAATTATTGAAAGAGAACTTTTCTATTGCGTAATCTTAAGTTATCCTCTCATAATTTATTTTTATTTTGATATTTAAAAAATTTCCTTTCAGTATTTGAAACTTTGTGACTTACTCTAGGTTTGTCTGAACTCATTTTTTTCCATACTTCAAATTACAAATTAGAAGAAGTGAAAGGAAATTTGCGATGAAAAGTTTCTCCCTTGGTATGGTGTCCTCTTAAATATCAAGTTGCATGGCAAACTATTGATTTCTGAATCAAACTACTTTAACTATCAAGTTACTTTGAGTAAACTTCAACAAAACTTCCTAAACCTAACAATATTTTTTCATTGAATAAAAATAAAAATTTATAGGTGAATATTAATATTTATAGGTGAATAGGAGGTACATTAAAGAGGATGAAAAGAAAACAGTTCCTAATCCGAAATGAATTCGAGTCTTGAGAGTAACAATTCCGAGAAACAAAGGACAAACAAAAAAGTGATTGCCTTTCCGAAAGTTAAATATTGCTTCAATTGAGTGTAACGATAAAAGAATTAATTTCATGCTTTATATAAAGTAAAAGCCTCCAACAACCTTCTCTCTATATATATATTGTTTTTTTTTTCTTTCTATTTTTACCTGCCGACTGGACTATGTAGGGATGAGGGGACTGGCCTTACATCAGAAAGGTTCTGAGTTCGATTCCCAGGCATGTTCTTTCATTCTCTGTACTATCTGTCCTTACTGTGGGAGCAACATTGGCCCACCTAATAAGGTGCTCCTGAAAGAGTGGTCAACAAATCTGCCCTTCAGATGTCTGTATGACGAAAGGTCATTCCCCAGAAGGGCATTGGGAAAAAAATATTTTCTTACCCTGATTCATAGCTTTTCATAATCATTAAATAATCATTAATTGTAGAATAGAATTAATAAAATCTTAAACTAAGTGATTTCCTATGATTATTTAACTTTTGAGCTTAAGCCTCTTCGAAAAGAAATTGAAGTAACATGAGCAGAGGCTATATGATTACATATAAATTAACTTATCGTTCTGGCTAATAAATTAAACGCCTACAAAATTTCTCAGTCCACTCTCATAATAAATATAAATAGTTTATACTATCTATAACACTACCATTCAACCCCGTCTATTTTACCTACTGCGATTATTTTCTTTCTCTTTTATATCCGCTGATAATGCTTGTATTTATGTTATCTTCGCTATTTTGCCACATTTCGATCATGATTGTCGTGGTTTAGATCTTCTCAGGTTTAGAAATATGTGATTGAATTGAAACTTTCGAAGTTTTATCTTTTTATTAATAATAACTTATTAGATATGCTTGTCGTGGTTGCAGGAAATGGTTTTTTGAAAAGTCATATCCGCGTAATAAATGAACAACTTATATAAAAACAATTTTTAAATTTATAACAAAAAAACAAGACAGTAAAAGCTATAAATCTTATGACAAAATATCAAAGTATTTATTTTTTAAAAAAGCTGTTTTCAATAAATTTCTTTAGAATTTGACTTTAGTTTTCCTATGTAACACAAGTCAGTTTTTTTTAATCAATTATATCAACATCGATTACTCTCGCATCAAGTGGCAGGTATAACAATAAATAATCTAAGTATCATTGTGATATCACAATGATATCTAAATGTAAATAAATATTCAACAATCCATATACTGTATGGTATACGTACATAGTTCCACTGACCTTTGAAGGGCAGGCTTGTAGGAGTAAATTGATGGCTGAGGTGGTGCGGAAAGTACATAGGAGGTAGAGGAAAGCGTCCTTGGTTGGCAGGATTCATCATGCTTTCCATACAGGCTTGACTGCTTAGGGGACCCCTGTACACATACATTTAAGGAACCAATTAATAAACATTATTCATTTTATTAATTATTATTGTTAATTGCACATACTTTATATTATTACTTTTATTATTTTATCATTATTACTTTTCAATAATTGCAATATCTAGAAAATGTCCAGTTTCATTCTATTTTTCAATTCTATTATATTATTCTATTTTTCAATTATATTCTATTATTCTACTTTTCAATTATATTCTATTATCCTATTTTTCAATTCTATTTTTCAATTCTATTCTATATCCAATTTTATTCTATTTTTCAATTCTTTTCTATTATTCATGTTGGTGCAAACGAAAATTTAGAGTTTGTATATTTAACTTAAAACAAGAAAAAACTATCGAAAACAAGAAAAAAACGACTAGAATATTGAATCAGAAATTTTCTGAGCAAATTATTCTCTAATGATTAAAGTAATAATTCATGAAATTGTTATTGATCATTTGACATTAGAGGAGAGAATTGCTGATTATTTTCTAAATTTTGATAGAAAAAAAATTTGATTTTGTTCGTTATTCATTTGTGATAGCGATTACTTTTGTATTTGAATTAAGTTTGAATGAAGAGGAAGAACTGATTTCGCTTTCGAATAATCGAGATTCAACTTTGAAATATTCGAAAGAATCAATTAATTCATTTTGGATTAGAAGCAACTATCCCATGATAGCCAAAAAAAGTCATAAAAATATTATTGCAATTTTCTACATCTTATTTGCGTGAATTTGCATTTTCAATATTATCCAACATAAAAATGAAAAATAAATTGAGACTGTTAAATATTGAAGACGATATGAGAATAGCATTGACATTTTTACGACTAAATATAAATGAAATTATCGAAAACCATTAAGCTCAAATTTCTCATTAAAAATATTCCTATTATCAACTTGTAATTAATCCCTTAATAAACGTACTCTTGTTTTTGTAGTACATATTATTTTATTTTACATTTTAAATTATTATCATAACTCTTAATTATTATTATAACTATTTTACACTGTGTATTATACGTAAGTAAACAACTTATTTTTTTCATTGTGTGCCGGCAAATTTCGAAATCGATAAAAGTGTGCCGCAATTAAAAAACGGAAAAAGAAGAAAAGAAGAAAAGAAAAAAGAAGAAAAAAGTTGAAAATTACTGCTGCAATCAAATTTGGCGATTGTCTTCTTCTTTTTTTAAAGGTTTGTTTTTTACTCTAGCCAAATGAGTAGAGTATTGTATTTATGCAATTTGCAAACATTAGAGTAAAAAAAAATATTTGTTGTGTCTTAATATATCTATCTTACTTTGTTAAATGAAATAAATAATAATGTTTTTAAAAAAAAAAGGATTACAATATTCTGAGCAAATAAATATGGAATGCATTTTTGAAATTATCTTCATCCATTTTAGTTTTTTTGCATTATAATTTTCAAGTCACGTTGAAAATAATGGCCAATTTTATTATCTAAAATGTAATTGTAAAATATTGGTACATTTTAAGGTTAGGAAAAAAAACTATCTTTGGTAAAAGTGTTGCGGAAAAAAAACATTCTTAAACATTTTTAAAATTAAAATTCCTTTAATAGTTCATCCGCCGATCTGATAGAGGCCTCAATTCTCATGTGGTTTCTATTTCTATGTTCAGCAGTTAAATTTATATCTGAGTCATATCAATTATTGATTACGCCGAAATGTTCAAAAACAATAACTGTAAACTGTAACTGTCTATAGGTTTTGAATAAACTAAGAAAAGTTTTTACTCTTGATTTGTGAATGTTTTTCTAACCATCAATGCAATTCCTTTATTAAAAATCTCAACATAAGTAAATCAATAAAACTGGTTCATTTATAGAAAAATATATCTTATAGAATAAAGTTTTTAATGACGATCTAATTTTAATTGTATGTAGCTGAAATACTTTCCATATAATTTTTTGGGGGAAAATAATTATTCTTTTAATTGAAATTATATGATGATGTAAACATTTTGTTACATGCTTTTTTGAAGTTATTGATCTTTTTAAAAATGTGATTGTATTAACGTAAACATTCCTTGCGTTCCTAAATTGTAAAGTCAGCTAGAAACGAGACTAACATCTATGCAATCATATGGTGCTTTTAACCATTCATTTATTTCATCTGCTCCTTTTATTGATTTTTTTGATGATTCAGCAATAATTGAACTATATTTCGTTAATATTGGGAATTATTTCGTCACGAAATTTTGTGATTTTGTGAAGAAATGGGAACTCTCAAATCTATGATGAAAATTTTTCCTCAATTCGAAACCTCATCCTAGTGCTTTGAGGGATATTTTTAACTGGAATGAAGGAACTATGATGAAGACTAGACGATCGAAAATGATATAATAATGAAATAAATCTACCGGCCTGTACTACGTTGGACTAATATCTGGAAAATTTGACGTTAAATCTCGCTTCGGTCTAAGTTATCTCTATGTTTTATTTGTATTTTTTGTGTTATAACGATCACTTTGGTTCAGCTATTTGATGCCAACGATTAAGTGAGTATTATAAAAGTTAAGTGCATTAGGCACTATGAGTTTTTTCTTTCTTTCCTTTTTTTCTTTCTTTCTTTCTTTNTTTTTTTTTTTTTTTTTTTTTTTTTTTTTTTTTTTTTTTTTTTGGTAAACAATAACTTGTACAAAATATTTTTCTTACTGTTGACGAAAATCGTTTCTTTGACGAAATTACGATAGTTATTTCGTCACTTTGACGAAATGTTCGCTTGGAGTATATATCAAAAAATGGTTTCGTCAAATACCGAAGAAGGTTTTGACGAAAAAGTTACAGTGTGCTCAATTTTTCAACAAAATTACTTCTCGATCCATTACTTAAATTTAAATTTTAAAAAATTAACCAAAGCTTTATTTTTTAGTATGCGTTTTTAATAAGAAATGAAGAATTTTAACCAATAAATAGGAACTAATATATAAAATTGGTCCAACATCTTTGCATTTAACACCATTATGGCAGTAATGAATCATAAAGTTAATAACCAACCTAAATATTACTTAAGACATTATACAATACCAAGATATAAAAATTGTGTTATCTTGCGTATATTCCTTTAGGGAATTATTCTTGCTTGGAGCAACATAATTGTTTAATACATCGCAGTGGAATTAATGATATTTTCGCGATCCATTAACAGCCATAAATATATTTCACGATATATGGTGTTCACGTCAATGCCTGAGCACGTGATCTCCAATTATTGTTACCTGACAAATGAAAATGTATTTATTCAAGTCGCTAACTGCATCTTTTAAGGCAAAAGAGCCGGGGGAAAATCTTCTCAAAAACTTTTCTTGTGTTGGGCGAATTGTAATGACACCTAGCAACGAGACTGGCGACAACTTAGAGAGAAAAGTACAACATAATCTCTTTGATTTCTATTAGCCAATGAAATGGCTTGCATAGAGGCAGAGAGAGAAAAGAGATCGAGAACATTAGCAAACTCACTCTCTTTTCTTCTCAACTCTCTAATTCCATTAGCCGAGTTTGCGCCTGAAGATCTCTTTTCTTTATGTTAACCTTTGGAATGTTTTATACATTTTCAGATAGAAGAATCTCTCTCAAAAGATTTCTCTTACCAAATCGGGTTGACAGCTGGCCCGGGTAAAACGTCACAACTAGAACCTCGACTTTCCATCAAATTTTAATTGGCTGTCCCCCTACCCCCGCTATCATCTGCCATTTTTAAAGGCAGACGATGGAATTTTCTTCCCAAGTTTTACTCTCCGACAGAATGGCAACACGATTATATCCGGAAGGAAAGGCGAGGAATTTTTAATTGAATCGAATTAAGACTTTGCACTCTTCTAACTCGATTCCGTTTTGTTTTCTTTAGCCATAAAGAAGTAAGATGCCTTCCTCTAATGAAGGCATTCCCTTTAAAGGTCGAAACAACATAATGGAATGTTTGGGAGAGGGTTAAAAAAAAGGGAAAGATTCCTCTTTGTGGTAATTAAAGGAAGTACAGAGTCGTAAATAACCCCCAATTAATTGAATTAAAACGCGAGTATTACGTTCACTTGGCTCCAAATGGATTTTTCATTAGTTAGTTTTCCCTTTAAAACTCGTTCTTCTTAAATTTTTGAATGGGAGTAAATAAGGGAAAAAGAAGATCGAATTGGCGACAGTGTACGAATATTTTCTTCGAGAACTTAAGAGAACCTATTTGCTTCGAGCTTTAAAAGAGCAACTATTTCAAATGAATATGTATATTAACTGTTTTTTTTTTCAATCTTATTTACAAGATGGCCATACTAGGTATTAAAAGAGGGTTTTTAATACAAATAAATTTGTTCTTCTGAAAGTTTAATCGAACCAATAAATAATTGAAAGATACATTGTCCATACATTTTAAGGATTGACCAAATGTTTGCGTCAAAACACTTTTTTATAATTTTTAATTAGTTTTTAAAATTAAAAGTACCAGCCATAATTTATAATAATATTTTATAGGCATATTTTTGTGTACTTTTCAATATTAAATAGTAAAAAAATATAATAAACTCTAGCTAGGTTTAGATATCTCTGGCATTACAATCAATTAGTGAAAAAAGGATCAACTATTTTTAAATAACTTCTTAGTTTAATGTCATCATTTATGATGTGACGTAGTGTCCTCTTTGATGTATTCTTTTGCTCAGCAACTCTTCTTTTAACAAGAATTTCAACCACGCTTTTTCAGACAATTTCGATTGAAAGTTATTTTCACCGAGCGCTGTTGGGTGTGGTTTTTAATACTGTTGATCTCAAAATGTCTTTAAATTCTTCTGAAAATTAATAAATAATTTGATATATAAATGTTTGAGAGCCGTAAAAATCTCTTACGCGCTCATCTTTTCTTGATACAAAGAAATGAAGAATGTAAATTTCTGTATGACGTTCACTTTACTATGTTTTCCCGTTGAAGCAGAATTTTTATTAAACATATTTTTCACACTTTTCTTCATTATTTTACATTAATTTAGGTCAAACTAATTGAAAAATATTATGATTAGAATTTTAATAATTTATAGTTATATCTATACAGCATGAACACCGGTGTCATTATGTATACGTTAAAGGCAAAACCTTTCAAACACGGCTCACTTCCAAACAATAATATTTCGAATTTGAACTTTTTTAGATCTAAGTGAAACAGTTATTCTTCATTGAAATTTCTTTAATTTACAAAATAACTTATTGATAATTTTTTAAATATGAAAAAAATTGAGATTTTAAAATACTTTTTCTCAATTTTTTAGAACAAATATCATTCCAATAACCAAACATATATTTTTAGTAACTATAAGACTGTTTATTACAAATAAGAAATACCAAAATATCTTTTTACTTGTAATTAGAGTATCAGAAAAAAATTTGTATAAAAGGGATATAAAATATAGATAAAATTGCCTTTACTGGGTCAAAGTATTAAAACTATGAATGCTATAACGTGGCAAAATGCGTTAAGGACTGCATTGCTTTTAAAAATAATCCCAACTATCTCCCGAAATGAAGTTTAAACTCATCTTCTGCATTTAAGCCAGATTATACGATCTCAAATGTGTGAATTTGAATTTATGACGCGATTTGATATTCTATATGATTCCCTAACTCTTTTAATTAATGTTCTCTATATAAAGCAGAATGTTCATGTGTGTATATACGTGTACGTACCGCATACATCTACGCAATTCTGAACCGATCCTCTGCAAATTTTTTGTACATACATTCGAAGACGCAGCGGACATTAACTGTTTACTTTAAAACTTCCTCCGATCATCGGTTCGAGTTTTACATTTTTAAAAAAGTGCTCATGATAGGATTTGATAAATATTTAATTAAATGAGTGATTTCGTTGCGTGCTACTAGACTCAATCAAAAATTTATTGATTAAATCATTCATTCACTTCAAAAATATTTAAATTGGAAATAACAATCAACATGCTTCAAGCGTTCAAAAACAGGCCCCCATTTTCAAATATTGCTATATGTGAATGAAAAGAAAAAAAAGTTATTTGAAATACAAAACGTACGCCAATGAAAAACGGAAAAATAAGAGTGAGAAACAAAGCTAGAAAAACCGTTGTTACCGAGAGAGAAAAAGGATGTTAAACAGAAGAAGAAAAACCACAGTAGCAGAGTTAGGTAAAATGCATTTCCGCGCGCTATGGAGAGGAAGTGAGGAAGTAATGTCGTTAACAAGGGAATCAGGATTCATATGAATAAAATAATGTTCCATCAGAATATGGTTCAAGCAATTTTATTATATTGATTAATATTGATTCACGGATTATTTGATTTTTCCCCCATATGACAAACGGCTATTCAGATAATTAATACTAATGCTTTCATCTGCTTACTTAGTATTTAAATAAAACGGTTAATAGTTTTCTATTAAGTCAGAAAAAATTATTTTTAATTTTATTCCTGTTATATTAATGGAAAAAGAATCCAACGAAAAGAACAAAAATTAAACAACCATTGCTTTTTTTTAAAAAAATTCAGACAGTTGTGAGTTTATGTAAAATAAATAATCGTCCGCTTAATCAGAATTATTTTGATTCATTTTTTCTTATTTTATCGGTAAACGAGATTTGAATGATAAGAATAAGAATAAAATATAATTTTTTTTGTCAATTTTTTCCATAGAGTCTTTAAATTAGTATTAACAACATAAATATTAACACCATATCCTATTTTTAAATTAAAAGGATAAATCTGTCTTCAAACATACGAGAATTAGAACAGGAGAGTTGACAGAACAGAAAGTAAATTCAAAAGCAGCATGACAAAAAGGCAACTTTCGTATAATTCCAATTTGATTTGAGGAGAATATATGTATATATATATATATATAGAGAGAGAGAGA